GCGGCCCCAGAGTCACAGACACCTATTTGTATTTTTTTCAATCCGGGCCATGTTTTCCTGGAGTCTCCCTTGGTCCCCAGGCTAACAGCGGGGGAGGCCAGGGCCGGTCCGTGGGATCACTATCTCCCTGAGTGTCCCTCCGCGCGACCTGTTCCCACCGCGCCATCTGCTGTCATTCAGGCGCTCCCGGGCCCCAAGAGACATAGTTCTGGCTTCTCTCCTTTTCCTTTTTTTTTTAAATTACAAACTGACGGATGCGTTTCTATTGATGAGTAAAATGATAACCTGCCCAGAAGGGGGGGGGGGGGGCATGGGCAACTGACAAGACTCCCACGGATGAACCACATAGAACTGGGACAGGGAGGCAAACCCCAGGCGGATGCCCGGAGCTGGCGAGGCTGCCCCCCGCGAGGGCCGGCCCAGGCCCAGGCCCGCCAGGCTCCGGGGCCCTCCTTCAGTCGGTTTCCCTGGCCCCTGGGGCTCGGAGCGGCCCGCACTCCAGGGGACCCTCGGGCTGCGGAGGGAGGAGAAAGCCAGGGTGCCGTCCCAGCTCCAAAGGTGGCCGGGCTGTGCCGCCCGAGCCAGCAGCCGCGCTCCCGGGCGGCTCTGGGGGCGCTGCCCTGGGCCGGGACCGCGGGAGGCGGCGACGCCAGGGCGCGCGGAGCCTGGGCGCGCCGGGGGCGGGCATTTGGCTGGAAATGGGGCCGCGTCTCCCCTGGGAAAGCGGGGCCCGGCGAGCTCTCTGGCCGCCTTTCCAGTTTCGCAGGTGCCCGCCCCCGTGCGCCGAAGGCAGCGCAGCCCCGAGGGCGAAACCGATGGCGGTTGGCAAACTTGGAAGGAGAACGCGCCCAGGACCCGACAGGCTGGAAGAGGGACGGCAGTGGGGGCGGCCGAGACCCAAGTTCACCCTCCCCGCCCGCTCGTCCGACGGGCCTGAGGGGCTTAGGGACGGACGCTCGCCAGCGGGAGCGGTGCCAGTTTGCTCCGAAACCGGGAGGGCGGAGGCCGGGGCCGGCGGGGAGGGTCCCCCGGGGTCCCGAGCGCCTCTCCCCGCAGCTCCCCTCCCCGCCGCCCCTCCCGCCTTGCTCTCGCGCTGCCTCCCCGGGCGGGCTGGACCCGCGCGGACTTGCCCCGGACCTGCGGGGAGCGCCCCGGGTCCTTAATGACAGCTT